ACAGTAGCACTGTCGAAGGTTTGGGTTACCTCTCTACTCAGGTCTTCCAAGTGGGCTTCCATCTTCCTACCTGGTTCTCTTGATTTACACAGCCTAAGGACTTATCTTGGGTTCATACTGCCCAGTACTGGTTTGTGTTCTCTTGTACAATGTTGTACAAGTGCCTTAGATCTTCCAGTCAGGCTAGTATGATACGGATTACAGGTATCCTATCCCAACCAATTACGGAAGACAGTTAGCCGTAACACAGAAAGAATTGCAAATTTTCACTGTCACTAAGATTTGAACTCTAGACCTGCCACTTGGGGGTTAACAACCTATCCACTTCACTAGGTCACCACACCCATTGACAAATTGTGACATTAATAATAAAATAAATTTGCTTTTAAATTGATCATACAAATTTTATTTTATTGTTTTATTAAGGTCAGAATTCTTATAAACAAGTATATATTTTTTTTGAAAATAATGTATCTGCATCTTTTTTAACAATAATATGCCATTCAGATGTTCTCATTCACAAAATATTCATTTAAAAACATCCAATTTCTATCATCAGAAAAAAAAAAGACCATTTATTGTATATAACTAGGATATTCTTTGTACTGATAAAATTTGTACTTCCTTTTCAGTAAAGGTTGATGAAAGTGGTGTGAGATTCTCAGTCTTCATAAAAATGTCTCTTCTTCAAAGTACTATTAACAAAAAATACCAAGATAAATACATTAAATGACGTTTAATCAGAATTAAATGCATCTTCAATCCAACTTATAATATTAATGAAACTGAAAAAAAAATATGTTTCTTATATAGTACTCTAAATCATAATGAAGGGTTAAACAAAATTTCATTTAATAATTTGCTTTTACATTATGAAACCAAAGAATATAAAACATACTCTGATATTGTATATATTTATATTGCTAAAACATTCACAGAGACTTAATAGTTTTTCATTCAAACTATGTCATCATCTTTGGGTACTATATGATTCTTTGAAACTATCTTTAGCTTTCTAAAGAATACAGAAATAGAAAAGATTGAATTCAAATGTAATATTCAGTATAAAGAAATAGCCACTAAGCAGACGAATATTATAATAAATTATTACTACCAGTTTTATAATGTTATAGAATGAATTTTATTATTATATTTTAGTATAGTTTCATGAATGTATATTGTTAACATTATTATTATTATTATTAGCATTAGTTATTATTATTATTATTAGTTATTATTATTATATTAGATAGAACAAATCAATTATAGCAGTTGATGCTTAATGCTTGACACTTGATGCTTGACACTTGATGCTTGATGCTTAACGCTTAATGTTTGATGCTTAACACTTGATGCTTGATGCTTGACATTTAACACCTGACACTTTGCTCTAATAATTATTAAGTTTTGATACTTAGCTTTAATGATTGTTAATGAATATATAAACCTCAAAAATTTCCCCAAGTCAAGCAAGTTATAAACACTCCTCTTCCTCTACCTTTTAGTTTAATAACTCTTATAAAGTATAAAAAGATTCCTTAGAAACAGAAACCTAACGAATAGCCTTATTCCTTTAATAAAGTTATTATTTTTATTTATAAACTATATTGATATTTCTCCTCTAGGGTAATTCCTACAGGCAAAGTCTATCGTTCCCAAGTAATAAAATTATAAACTGTTATATTGTCTTAACTGAACTGCACAGAGAAAGGTATAGTTACTAAATAGTTAAAACTAATATACTTCCTTCTTGGATACTACTATAAACCTGTAAAGGATCTTTGTAACCATGTCATTGTTATAGTAAGGAGTTAAAGAAGGTCTCCCTACTGTAACAATGGAAATGAGAAGTTGGATTTTGAACATGTTAAAACCAAGATAATCAATGACTTTCTTGAAAATAGAGAAACTATATCTGAAAATACTAATAGAGATCAGATATATGAAATAATTGAATTATCAAGTGATGAAGACTGTGCACCTGAAATAATTGAATTATCAAGTGATGATGAAAGTCAAACACCTGAAATAATTGAATTATCAAATAATGAAGAAGTGGTGTTTGAAGAAAACCAAATGGCTGTTTCTAGAAATCGAACACCTAAAACAGCAGAATAAATAAATAATATAACTTATTGTTATATTCATGTGAATTTTTGTTCTATTATAAATATTGTAATATCTAACAAAGTAAAAGTTTTATCAATAAAGTTTTATATCATTATCTTCTATGTACAACGTGAAAGATCTATCACATGATTTTTAATATAAACTAACTAACCGTAAAAAAATGTCTATTGTAATTAGTAAAATAAAATTCTAACGTTATTACTATGAAAAGACAACATTTATTAAACAACTTACTTTCTTAGAATTAAAAAATATCAAGTATTACAAGAGGAATTAAAGGCGAAGTAAAGCCTTTTTTTTATAATCGTTTAATATAGAATGCAGATCCAAAATTTTATTATAAAAATCTTTATTAGTGATTTTCACTATATCATGTGCACTATGTTTGTAAATTGACCGATAGGACACATCCCAATCTAATACGTACGTAGCATTCACGGGGATTAGTTACACAACAGAGGTTGCCTATGATTAGTATTGTAAGCTGGCTAAGGCAGCCATAACTAAGCCGGCTTAGCTGGCTAAGCAGCTAAAGATTACGTACATGATTATTTGTGAAAATTCAAAAATAGAAAATAGATGAACATAGAATACCGATACAAGCTAAATTTTTGCGAAATTTCCAGAAAGTTCCATAAGACAAGCAATTAGCCGACTGTTTAGCTTAGCCAGCCGATTAAAACTATATCAAAGAGATACACCAAAAATAAAAAACAGCATCCTTGTTTTTAAAAAAATATAATTTATCAACCAATAATATTTTAGAAACATTAATTAATACAACGTTCGTAATACGTACACATTCAGCTTATAGACCAAATTAGGTAATAATCAAATTTGGGGGTAGCACATAGATTTCCACAAAACGATTTGTGTAAAATCTATCACTATCTTATTTTTTCATTACAGCTAAAGTACCGTATGACGCCAGAGAATAATTCAAAATGTAAGTATAATGGAAATTTTCAAATAATTAAAAACAAAGGTATTTAATAGTGCATAATTTCGGGTATGAAAGTAGTAACAAGTCGATCGAATGTTGGTATCAAGACTTGTGTCTCTTGTGGGTATAGGTGACCCTATTCTATAATCAAATTGATTAATAATACATTTAACTAGAAGAGTCACCTATACTGCAAAAGATCCAAAATTTAAATTGAAATTGGACCTGGGCAAATCGAATTCACGAAATGCGAAATGACACAGTTCTGTTACAAAAGCACGAATAATCATTTGTTTTATAATCAGAATTGATTTTTCACACGTTATCCAAATTATCTAAACCTTGAGTTTCGTCATCAACAGTTGATACATCTCCATCGTTGCCATCACTTAAAGTACCACTTTTCCTTAATCCAATCTGTCTGGCCAATATATCTTTTCTTTTTCGTTCTCTCCTTTCTTCTTTGTGATCCCATGTCTTACCACCATCTTTTGATGCTCTTCTAGCCCCATCATCGCCACTTCCCATACCTTTAAAAAGATTATCGTCAAGCGTGCTCAATAAATCGTTAATTTTTCTCAGGATTTCGTCAAAATTTTGATTACTTAAATTAATAAGTAAATGTAAGTAGAATAAATCCACCAAAAGGTGTATTTTTTGAGTTGATAAATTTAAATATGCGATTGGAGTTTCAAGTTTCACAGAATTACGGATTGCTACCATATGCCTTTTTGAGGTAGTCAACAGACCAGAATCACGGTAACCGGTATCAACGGCCAATTTAACAAGATTTTTTGCAGCATCTAAAGTACGTGCTTCAACATGTAAAATCTAAAAATAAATCTGTGTGAAAAGAATTTTTCTAAATCCTAAGGAAATTAAAAAAAATATATATAAATAAATACCAACCATTGAATTGAATTTGAAATAAATCAAGTTATAATCATTATTTTGTAACAAGTCATAACTTTCATTGTTAGATAATGTTGCATTCTCAAAATCTTCACCCAAAATCGTTTTCAAAAAATTATTAATTAAATCTCTTTCTTTAGGTAAATTAATTTTTGAATGAGCGACAAATAATAATTTTCCACCGTCACCACTACCAAATTTTAAATCTGAATCATCATCATCTAAATCATCTTGATGTCTATAAACAACTCCATTTTCAGTTTCACCATGGTTAATACTACCAGTTGTTAAAGATTCTAGCCTTCCGGAGATAGATTTCCTTGAATTTCTACATTTATTGCTATTAGCACTAGTAGAAATAATTGAAATTTTACCGGAACAACTACTCGTTACGATATAATCCTCATGTTTGTTAATTAATTCGATTATAGGCAAAATTGCATCATCAATTAATGAAGATACTTTAGAGGATGAATACTTGTTTGCATTATTATTATCAGTTCGAGTACTTATTTGGTCTATTAATGAAGCTAGAATTTGCTGTTTTCTTGCATGAAAACCAGGTTGAACTGAATGGTAAGTTGTTGGAAGACGTCTTGAAGCTGTTTGAGGTAGTGTTTGAGCAGACATTTTTTTCACATGTTTAATTGAGAACTATTTTATAAATGAATTTTTTTTTCTTTATATTTATGTAAAAAACGGTCGAGAAAAAATTTGAAATGTTAAAATCCGCTTTTACACATTGAGGAACTTAATGTATAATACAAAAAGTATTTAAAATTTATCGTTATTATCACGAATTACGAATTTGTATTAATTTTTGTCGATCCCAATCTCAATAAGGGTATTTTTATAAAGGAAATCCTCCAATCAAAATTGAGACAAAGACCCTTTAAAAACCATATTCGATTATCTTTTGACCTAAAATAAGAAAAAGTCAACATCGTTAATGAATGCTTATAAACATGTCCCAAATGAGGTCACTAAAAATAAAATGGATTTAGAAGAGACTTTAGGCCAAGAAACACAAATACAAAGCGTGTCATCACAAGAAGTTATAGTGGAAAATAAGGATAATGAATCTACAAGTGAATTGGTTAACGAAGGACTGGAATTCTGGAACAAACGAAGAGAATTATGGACCCGCGAGAATCAAAATATTTCAGGAACTTCTGATAACAGAGATAACCCGGCTTTATTGAACATTACTCCAAATAATTATAATTCCATATATGATTCTCTAGTTTGTGAAAAGAAAAAGTTAGCAAGACCTGTTCCTTTACCTTACGTGGTATGTATGCATTTTTTTATTTTAATTTTCTTTCATTCAGAATTATAAATCTAAATATTACACCATTTTTTGATATATTATGATTATTTTATTTTCATAGATTAAAATACTAGTTAGTGGGTGGAAAAGAGATGGTATTTGGCCTACTGATCCACCATCGGCTTCTTCTAGTTTAGAACCGGGTTATAGTAAACCGGGTCACCCGTGTCAAAACGGTTCAACCGGCCAAACCGGTTGAATATGTGACCTCCAAAATATGTTACTATTACGTACACAGAAAACATAAAATTTAACACATTATTACTGTATTGTGAAAATATACACACTTTTTTTCTTACTAATTTATCTAAATGTTCAATCCCGCTAATCTGGATTTAAAAAAAAAATTACAAACTTTCGGATGTTACCATACGATCTATTGCGAAAATTTTGGCAAAAAATTCATTTGTATAAGCCTTTATTATTATTTTCTTTGCTTTGCTAATATGAGTGCTGCTAAGGGAAAAAGGTGCACTCGTTTTTAGTAAGTTATTGATTATTTATCCGATTCAGCCTTCTGATCTGATGCATATCGGACTTTCGCAAATTTCTGAAATTATCGTTATATCAGTGACTAATACATAGAGTTAAAATTATATTTTACAATTTGTAATTTTTGCTCAAGTTTTAGTAACATGGATTTCACGTAAATTTCTCACGTGATATAAAGTACCAGCATTATGAAAAACTCTGCTAGCATTAATGATTCTGCATAAAGTTTACTGATCAAATCGATACGTATATGATCCAACCAATCACATGGAATCATGATCACGTTCCTTACAAATTAATAAAATTACGTAATTTTAACATAGCGATAGCGATAGGAAGACATTCGTCTGATTGGCTAATGTAAATCAATTGCTCGGGTAATTATTTATACACTTTAAAGTACTTTTTGGTAACGTAACGTTTCACTAATAAAAAAATCATTCAGAAGCCATTTTTTATTTCGAAACTAATCAAAAATAATCAAAATATTTAGTAACTTCAAGAACTTTACTTAGAAGACAAAGTATATTTACTGTTTATTGAACCATATTGTAGAGTTAAGATAACTGAAAACATTTTTATCTAAAACTATTTTATTATATTAGATTTAAATAAACTTTTATTTCTAACTGTTTAATTTGCATAGGTACAAACTTTTAGTGCTAAAAGATCTGGTTTAACTATTTAAATTTAGCTGATTCTTATAATGTATTTGAGTATTTACTATATAGAGTTGAGTTAGTAGAAATCAAGTAAATTGTTTTTATTGAAATTTTTTAACAACTTTAAATGCCAATACTTTAACAAAAACTTGATCAAATTTAATAAAAATTTTTTTAAATAAATTTTATAAGTTTGTAAAGCTTATTTAAAAAAAAATTATTAAATTTGATTAAAATGTTGTTAAATTATTGTTATTTAAAGTTTTAAAAAAATTTACTTAAAAAAAATTTGCTTGATTTCTATTAACTTAACTCCATATATTAGTAGTTAAAGTTTAATTGTTTTGTATATAAATTTTATTTTTATATTTTTTTTTTTATTTATTGTTTTGCATTTTTTATTATTTACTCTTATACTTCTGTGTTTTTTTTTATATATATAAAGTTTTTTTATTTTTTTGTTTTTCTATAAAAAAATATTATTAAATTGGTAATATTTTATTATAGAATAGTGGTTAGATAAGTAATTTTATCTCTAATTACTTAGATACTATTAAGTAATTAAATAATATTAAACATGAGTATTAAAAAAATTTTATATAATTTATATAGTTTTAAGAATTTTAATAAAATATTAGTATAGAGAATGGTGATCCTAGTATAGTAGTTAGGTTGTCATCCTTTAAGTGGCAAGTTTAAAGTTTAAATCCTATCTATAATGAAATTTGAAAATTATATCTGTGTTATAGTAACTGTCTTCTGTCGATTAGTTGGCCTTATATGACTGTTATTCAGGTACATCAGGTTAGGTTCTCCTGACTTTGGGAACTTAGACATCTATATAAAGTGTAACATTATACATATATAGAGAAATGTTAACTGATGTTACATAAGACTTCAGTACAAACTCACAATAAGACCATCAGACATAGAAGATTAAGAAACTGAGATGACAAAAACCAACTTGAAAATTTCTGAGTAAAGAAATATATAGAAAAAATTACTGAAAGTGATCACAAAATAGTAATAGCAAAAATATGAGTTAGACATATAATAATAAAAAGCAACAAAACAGATATCAAAAGAAAGAGTCAATTAAGAATAATATACTTTTATAATATTACAAAAGATAAAGAATAAAAAAATTATGCACAAAAATTACAAAACTGAATAAAAATCAAAGAAGCATTAAAGCATATTCAAAAGAAAAAACAAGAAACAAAAAGAAAAACACAAAAGATAAATAATGTATAGGATGTAATAGAAGAGGCAATCATAATAGTAGCAAACAAGCATATACTTAAAAAAAAGATTTACAACATAGCAACAAACAGAAGACATAGCTAAAAAGACCAATGATAGAAAAAGACCATTGTAGAGCTTCAAAGATTGGTCAAATATGCAAAAACAAAAAGTTACAAAAACAAAAAAAAGCAAAATAAATAGTGAACTTAAAATATTAAACAAAAAAGTAGATGCAAAGTTGCCAAAAATCCAAAGACAATAGTCTGATATGTGAATAGAAAACATAAAGAATTAGCAAAAAATTTTTTTTTAAAAAAAAAAAAAAAAATAGAAACAAGAGCAAAGAAAACAAATAAAAGAAAACATAAACAAAAGATGTAAAATGATCAAAACTGATTAAGAAAGAATAATAGCCAGTCTTTTGAACAAACTATATAAGAAAGTAATACTTAATAAATTAATTAAACAAACAGAAAAAAAGACAAAACTAGTAACAGAATCAGAGCTAGTCAAAAAAGCTATAGCAGAATATTATAAAAAACAATTTAGAGAAAAAAATATTAAGTTAAAAAAGATATCATTTATAAACTACAGTATCATATTAAAGAAGAATAGTATAATAAAATTAAAAGAAAAATTGTAAAAAAAGAATAAAATAAAATAATTAGAAAACCCAAAACAGAAACAGCTTCTGAAATATCAAAAATAAGTTATATACTGATTAAAAGAATATAAAAAAAGTGCAAGAGATGTTCAAACTTATGCAAACCTATGCTTAAAGACAGAAGAAATAGCAATAAAGTAGAAAATAGCATAAGTATATCTTATACCAAAAGATATAGAATGGAGATATAGTTTAAATAATATTCATCCAATAGCCTTAATTGAGACATTCAGAATAGTCATAATGAAGGTGTTAACAAAAAGATTTAGTAAAATTTTTGTTGAAAAAAAATACTTAGAGATCAAATTATGCAGGCCTTTCAGAAAACTTAACAAAACAGCCAATACATGTTCTAAATATAATAATAAAAGAAGCAAAAAAAAATACAAAGAATCATGAATACTTCTGCAAGATATGAAAAAGGGTTTTGATTTTGTCTTACTAAAAGTCTTAAACAAGTCTTGCAAAGAGTCAAAATATCTGAGAAAACAATCAAATATATTTTGAATCTTTTTTATAAGAGACAGTTTAAAATAATCACAGTCTATAGCCTAACAAAAAAAATATAAATCAAGGTGAAGTAATATTACTACTAATATAATGTCTTGTTTATAACCCATTACTAAAAAAAATACAGAAAAATAAAAGATTAGGCTATACAATAGAGCAAAAGATCAAAAAAAAATACATTGCAATAATATTACAAGCTACTATCAAGCAGCAATTGCATATGTAAATGATATGATATAGATTATAAACAACAAAGAACAGCTATTAGAAATATTGAAAATAACAGAAGAGTTTTTTAAAATAAATAATATAAAGATAAATAGAGCTAAGTTAATAATAATGAACAGAAAAATCAAAAAAGAAAAAAGAGAAATAATATTTGAAAAAAATAAAATAATAGAAAAACAAAAAAACAAGATAGTTTGTTCCTTAGAAATCTGACTAAACAATAGAATATAAAAAGTTCTAGTTAAGAAAAAAGCAAAAAAAATAATAAGCTAAACAATAAGAAACTTTAAGTACAAGAAGATGACAATGAGTCAGATAATATATATAAACAATATAGTAATAATATCAAAGTTAAGTTATATGTTGCAGTTAACAAAAATATCAAAGAAAGAAAAAATAAAGTACACTAACCAATGATATGTCTGATAAAATAAAAAAGCAGCTTATTAAGAACATTAAAGAATTGTATAATAGAATACAAAAATCTGAGCAGCTACAGAATATTGTGACAAAAATTAATAATGAAACAAGTAAAAGGTCTGTTAATAAGACTTAACAGAAAAGATAAATTAGAACAGTTAACAAAATTAAAAATAATACAAAGTTGCCAAAGAGTAGAATTAATTAAAGACATATAGAAATTAAAGAAGCTGCCAGAAGATAGAACATATTAAAAGAACAATTTAGCCTATTTAACAATAGTTAAAGTAAAAAAACTGAAAATAAATATAAGTACAAAAAGTAAGCTATAGACAACAAGTAGCTATGATCACAAAATAGTCAAACTATTAGAAATATAACTATAAAAAAAAAGTAAAGCAAAATAAGTAAAACAGATCTAATATATCTAAACTAACTACTTAATGCAAAGAATAAAAGACTAATTACATAGTAGCAATTTAAAAGTTATCAAAAACAATCAAGCAAAGGTAAAAAACAAAATGATTCAAAAGAATAAAAGGAAAAATGCTTAATAAACTAGAAAGCAAAGAGGTTAAAGAACTGTTTAAAACAGACAGACATAATATATAAACAATGAAGATTAAGTGAGAAAGTCTTTTAAAGAATAAAAGAAAAAAAGAATGAATTTTATATGATGCAAAAATAACAAACAATGAAAAAAAGTAATTAAAAAAAAAGAAAGTACTAATAAAACATTGGCAGATACAAAGTGTAGAAAGTGATTTAGAAACTAAAATTAGCAAATGCAATAGGTGTATAAGTAAAAAAAAAATAGTAAAAAACAGTTGTCAACAGTAAATAAGAATCAATAATAAGATAAAAGTAGTTATAGACATACTAATAGTAAA